TGAGCGAATTTCAAGAACGTGACTCTGGGTGGGCTTTGCATAAAATAATATCAATGGAAGTTAATATTAACAAACTTGAAATGGGAAATGGTTCATCCTTTATTAGACTGCCAGAACAAATTTCTAAAAAGCGAGCATGTTTGAATATAAAAAATACTGACTCGGCATGTTTCTATTGGTCAATCATAAGTGCCTTCTACCCAGCGAAAACACATAGGGAACTGACTTCTTCATATCCATATTACACTACAGTTCTGAAAACAGTAGATTTAGATGCACCCATGTCTCTACGTCAAATTCCAAAATTTGAAAAAGACAATAACATTTCCGTGAATGTATACACATTAGAGTTGAATTTAGTCAGGGAAAAATCATATTATACTGTGGTGCCAGCTAGACTTATGAAAAATAAATTAGAAAGGCACGTTAATCTATTGCTAATTCAAAACAAATATTATCCAAAATTAAATGATTATGAGGCTCCTCCGATTGATGAAGAAGACTCTGACATCAAATACCATTACTGCTTGATTCAAGATATGTCTAGATTAATATCAAACCAAGTGAATAAACATTAGGGTAAAAAATTCATTTGTGACAGATGCATGAATTATTTTCAATGTAAACAAAAATTGATTGATCATGAAATGCTGTGTTCTGAATTGAACCAATGCAAAGTTTCATTTCCAAAATATGATCACATAGAATTCAAAAATTTCACCTACCAACAAACCACCCCCTTTATAATTTATGCAGACTTTGAATGTCAATTAGAACATGTGGATGATATGGTTTCATCAAAAACAAGCAAATATCAGAAACATGTGGCTCATAGTGCAGGCTATTATTTTAAATGTGATTTCGATGATTCCTTGTCGTTTTTCAATAGCCACAGGGGTGAAGATTGTATGGATTGGTTTGCAAATGAAATGTCGAAGATAGCTGAAATCGTGCAATCTAAAATCAAAACAATCGTGCCAATGACTGTTAGTCCTGACAAATGCAAAGCAAAAATCTGTCATATTTGTGAGAAACTATTCAGGGAGAAAGACATTATCGTAGCTGATCATAATCACTTTTCAGGCGAGTTCAGGGGGTGGGCGCATCAAGCACCCTGTAACATAAATTTCAAGAAACTCTTTGTTGTTCCAATTGCATTTCACAACCTGATAGGATATGATTCACATTTCATGATCAGTCAATTGAGTAAAAAGGGCCGTTTGAGCGTACTTCCAATAAACATGGAAAAGTACATATCTTTCACTTTACATGATGACAATACAGACATCAAATTCCGATTTATTGACTCTTTTCGCTTCATGGGTACATCCTTAGATGAATTATCTTCAATCATGGATAGAAAAGATTTTGAAATTTTGAAAAAAGAATTCAGTCATTTGAACGATGATACATTCAACCTTCTCACCAAGAAGGGTGTCTTTCCCTACGATTACATTAGTTGTTTGGAAAAATTGAATGATACTGAATTACCTACAAAGAAATATTTTTATAATAAATTGAATGATGAACACATTAGCGATGAGCAGTACGCCCATGCTCAAAAGGTATGGTCATCATTCAAAATTCAAAATTTAGGGGAATATTCTGACTTATATTTAAAAACAGACGTTATGTTGTTGACCGCTGTTTTCGAGAAATTCCGGCAGAAATGTAGGACAACTTATGGGTTAGATCCAGCATGGTACTATACCATGCCTGGATATACATGGGATGCCATGTTAAAGTACACCAAATGCAAACTGGAATTATTGAATGAGGTTGATAAAATCATGTTCATTGAGAAGGCATTACGTGGTGGTATTTCTGTTTGTAGTGGTAGGTATTCAGAAGCTAATAACAAGTATATGTCTGAATATGATTCCAATAAACCTTCAAAATATCTCATGTATTTAGATGTAAATAATTTGTACGGTTGGGCAATGTCACAGTCTTTACCATTCGGAGATTTCTCATGGATGGAAAACGTTGAAAATGTCAACGTAATGAATATTGCTGATGATTCTCTTGAAGGATATATTTTACAAGTAGACTTAGAATATCCTCGCGACTTACATAACAATCACAAAGACTTTCCATTTGCTGCTGAACATCGCATACCACCCGGCTCAAAATTACCAAAATTAATGACAACACTTTACGACAAAAAAGATTATATTTTACACTATAGAAATTTAAAACAATGTTTAGCAAACGGACTGAAACTGACGAAAATCCACAAAATCTTGAAATTCAGGCAATCTTTTTGGCTCAAATCATATATAGATCTGAATACTTCTTTGAGGACTGCCGCAACGAATGAATTTGAGAAAAATCTCTATAAACTAATGAATAATGCAGTATTCGGTGAGACAATGGAAAACATACGAAAGCATAGATTAATGAAACTAGTAAGGTCGTGGGAGGGACGTTATGGAGCCATAAATCTCATAGCTAGTCCTCGATTCCGTGGTAGAACAATTTTTGAAGAAAACTTGATTGCCATAGAAATGCAGAAAGCCGAAATAATTTTTAATAAACCTCTATACGTAGGAATGGCCATTTTAGATTTATCAAAATTGTGTATGTACAAATTTCACTATGAGTATATGCTTGCGAAAATGGGTATTGAAAGGTGTAAATTGTTATATGGATACAGACAGCTTCATATATGAATTGAAATGTGATGATGCATATGAAGAAGTTATAAAGGCTGATCTCTCTCAATTTGACACATCTGAATATGCTCCAGACAATGAATATAATATGCCACTAGTCAATAAAATAAAGTTGGGTTTATTAAAAGATGAAGCAAATGGGAAAATCGTTACTAATTCTACGTTCGAAAATGTATGCATATAAAGTACAAGGGGGTAAGGTTGTCAAAAAATCGAAAGGGGTGAAAACTAATGTTGTCAAGAATAAAATTGGGTTCGAAGATTATTTGAATTGTTTGAAGAATTTCAGATAACAAACAGTGTCTCAACGTACTATCCGTTCATATGCCCACAATGTGTTTAGCATTCAACAATCAAGAATTGCTCTGAGTCCCAAAGATGATGAACGATATTTGATTCCAGGTTCGTTTGACACATTGCCATGGGGTCATACACAGGCAAAAGAGTAATTTTTTCATGTAAATCAACTCATCAAACATTTATAAAGAAAAAAAAAACCATACACCTACACTTACACTCCTCTGTTTTAGATTTAGAATTATTATTTGGGCTTAAAGAACGATATGAATGTTATATGAATTTACATGATTCACATTATCATTATGAGAGATTCATCGATTCAGATACAGATTTTAGTAGCATGATATCATCTTCACAAATGTAGTTTGCGAAAAGTGACAAAGTAAAATGCCTTTTTTTCAGAATATGTTTTTTCTTATGAAAATGTAATACTTGTCCTGGCTATTAATGTAAATATAATATATGCTGTCTATCTATCATTAATAAAATAATCATTGAAATTTTCTGTGTATCATTGGGATGGGTAGTGAGTGTAAGAGAGAGTGAGAGGGTAAAAAAGTGGGAAGAAGAGAGAGAGAGAGAGAGAGAGAGAGAGAGAGAAAGAGAGAGAGAGAGAGAGATTGGATGGATATTAGTTGAAGGTATGGATGTAAAAAACAGTTGTATCATGTCTTCTGACGAATACAGACGTGCACTAGAAGAATTTGGGTTGAAAGTTAGAAAGCTCAGTGCAGACATCCAATTGTATGAGCAGAAAGTTTGTTTGTTCAAGAATTTCGAGTAATTGAGTGTTTGGGACAAGGTGTTCACAGAACCAAGACGTTCAGTTGCAACGTTTCCTACATCGAGAAGAATCCAACCAACACAGCTAGATGGCGATACTGAAAGCAAGCTTCATTCTATTGACAGCTCTGAGCAACAACGTCTTCTACACAAACATACCGTACAATACGAGGAATGCAGCCGTATGTTTTGATGTGAATCGTACACAACAGTGTGATTGGAAGATGATGCGTAGAATGTATGTCAATGATAACAAACTACCTGTATATTCATTCGACATGTCACAACATGTTAATGAAAGCAGCATCCACTACAAATTGAAATTATCGTTTTCTGATGGCAGTGACGGCGAAACTGGGGACTGGCAGACATTTACATTGAAGAAATCACCCGCAAAATTAGATGATGATCAAGATTCTGTCAATATCATTGCAATTTTGACACTTTGTTGTACACTAATATGTTCACTCATTTTAATCTCACATGTTATTTTCATTATACTGAGAAATAAGGGATGTGATGAATAAAAACTCTGGAATTACGATATATAGTTTTTTATTTTGGCAATAAATTACATAACCAATTATATAAAGTATCGACATTGTGGAGACTGCACTGGAACCTTCCTCCATGGAAATGATTCATGCAGGGTGGAATGGATTGTAGGAACGTTATTGGCTGCCACCAAGAATTCTCAAAATCTTCCAAATTAACAATGTGATTGATCATCTCCAACTCTGCACATTTTCGCTGCAAAAACTGAATCTTTTGATGGCCTCTTACGTAGATGATGTTTGTCTGCTGCAGGTTATCTCGTAGTTTTTGATCCAACTCATTCAAATCCACATAACCACTGGAATATTTTAAACCATGAACGTAACGCTCCACATGATTTGCCATCTTTTTATCTTCTCTGCTTAAACTCGAAAATTCTACAGATGGCTTGAATAGAAAATGACTCGTCTTTTTGCCAATGCGAATGGTCATTTCCTTTGGAATGAATTCACCAACAACCGTGAACCCTTGAATGTCAACCAGTGCGATCTCCATGACTCTTCGAAGCAAACTGACGTCTGACTGACGCAGCAACACCCACCTAGGCAATATTTCGAACAATTTCGCTGAGTGGGAGATGTTCCATGATTTGATCGTGAATGATGATGCAATAGGCTTTGGTGTCGGGAGGGAAGCCTGTAGTCGCTTCAATGTCCAACTTTATGTCAACTGTAGACGACTTCAGACCCAGATAGCGCCTCGAGCAATCGATAACAAACATTGGTCGGGATTTGAATTCGGCAAAGTTTACTAGAGAGCGCTTTTCTTGACAGTTATGGTAGCTCTTGTTGAACTCTGTATAGTTGAAGTGAGCGTCGGCATATTGGTCTTTGGAAAAGTCCAATAGCATTCTTTCTTGCGGATAATAGTCGCTATTCAGAGCCAATCGTATGGATTTGATGTTGGCATTATCGAACAAGGTGACATCTTCATGCATATTATCGGCTTTTTTCGTTTGGAAAAATACTATAACATATCTTGGACTGTCCAATGCAGAACATGTCTTTACGGACCAGATTTCTATGGTAGATCCTTGTGTGAGTGCTGGTAGCTCGTGCAATTTCCATCGGCGAAACGGTATCATCATAGACTCATCTGCTTTGATACGTGTCAACAACTGCAACTTTATGTCATCGTTGGGTGTGAGATGTGGCACTTTCAAATTGATGCTTTCTATCGTTATTTTAGCAATACTCTGAGTCTGAGGAGATCCTTGCAAAGCAGTATTCGCTCTCTCGACAACCTTCACACTATTGGCATCATTGCGAGCTCTCACTAAACGGATTGACTGCTTGCCCCACGTTGCCACTTGATGATCGTTGAAGATGGAAAACAAATGTTTCAGTGGAATGTTCATGCTAAACGTACCATCGGTGTTGAGGATCGGAGCATTGGGATAGTTCCAGCCTGCTATGGCTAGATGACGTGAGTCTTCAGGTGTATAACACAAGTATCCTCGCACAGTACTCGTTATTCCAGGATATCTGACAGTGTCCAATTCTTTATTACATAATTCATAGGTGCAGGAATCAAAGAGATAAGCTCCAGCATTGTGGGTTAATGTACCAGTACCACCACCGGTCACCTTCAATTTACCCTTGATGGTAATGATGCCTTCAAACATGGCCAACCACGAATCTGCTTGATTAACCGTTATATCGATGACATCATTGTTCTCGAATGATTTCACATATGGATAATAGGTACGCCATTCCACTTTAGTGATGCTTTCGTCGAGTCTGGGTTTGCGGAAAACGTCGAACACGGGTGCTAACAACATTGTAGTCTTTGAGTGATTTCAGAAACAGGACACTGGATAATGTCAATGTTTTTCTGTTGCTGCTGCTACTGCTCTTCGAAGACACGACTGCTTTGGTGTACGGTGTCGAGAGAACTGGTGCCGATGACGTTGCTGATGATGGTATATTATCTGATTTATAGGAGTAATCAAACACTAGTACCATCTTGCGAGTTTCTTCAATTCCAATCTTATGATGATTTCTTCACCTCTAAAATTCACCTGCCTGAAATCTTGGTCTAGAATCTGGAGTGTAATGTTGGGCAATTCCCGCCTGCTGACTATAGGTAGATAGATTAGATTTCTGGGAGTCTCGTCTATGGCGTAACCAGGATCGACTGCAACTGCAAACTCGTAGATCGTATGTGATGGTCTGTCGTTGTAGAGAGCTCCAGCAGTAACGTTGCTATCAATGTGAATGGTTCTCACTTTGGTTATGCTGACCGGCAAATCGGAAGTGTGGACATGTTGTGCGTTCAACAATCTATTTGAAAATCCCAAGACTTGAGCTATGCTATCCTTCGGGCGAAAATCGATGGCAAACCTTTGGCTCGAAATCTCACACTTTAGTGTATTATTGTTGGGCTTCAACGAGAATATATCATCAACGTCCTTTGCACTCGATATACCCAATTCTTTGCGTATGAATGTCTCAATGTCCACAATGTCGTATGAACCTTCGGGAATATCGATGATCTTTCCCGCCTTGGTCTTATCTTGCAGATAAAACTTTGATCCTTTGTCGATATTTGGTATACTGTTGTATGAATGGAATCCCAACAATGCTAGTCCGTAATCAGAGTCTGGATCGAGTTGAAGTGGTGTCAAAAAGTCTATGGAGAGCGTAGATGTACTACCTTTCAACGTCACAATCAGAGACATGACTGATGCACAATGACTGTGTTACTTGGTCTCATTAAAAAGGAATTCTAAACATAGACGTCCACAATTACTTTGATTGAAATTTTGGTATTGATTGTTATTGTACAAGATTTTCGTGCTGACACCCAAATATTGCGCCAATTCTCTGGGCGGTTTCAGATTACCATAACTATCGAAATATAAGGCTTTTTTATCATTTTTTATGTAAGCCACCCAATGAGTGCCCGCATGATTGGCGGTATCCAAATTCAATACAGCACACTCACGATGCCATGGACCGGTGGAAGGTAGAGTGTCCCGCATAAAAACACCTCGAAAATATGGTATTTTCAGCTGTTTGGCATACTTTATCACATCTTTATCGTACATTGATTTATTGGGTAGCTTGTCTAGAAGTTTTTTGAGTTTTTTGATTGTTTCTTCAAGTACAGTCCGAATCCTCTCGATGTTTTGCGTAGAAATAGGCCGGAACCCTGCTTGCCGATAGCCTCCATTGCTCTATTATGTCTTTGATCTTCTTCGAGCTTTTTCTTTGCATTTTTCGCATCAATGACTGTCTTCGCGACTGCTCCGGCTCCTCCAGCTAGAGATCCTAGGGCCCCCAAGGCAGCAAAGATTGGTATCAATGGTAGTATACCGCCACTGTGTGGAAGAGGTATGATTCTTGGTACTCTGATTCTTTTTTTACCGCCAGCCCTCTTGATTGCCATTCTGGCTGCATGGAGTGCTTTCAATGCAGATTTATTCAGACCACTTCCTGATGTTGTACTTCCACCACCACCACCATCTGACCTTGGATAGTACATTTTTTATGAATTTGATAATGTTGGATAGGGATTGCTGTGATACAAGACCCATGCCAAGTTTTCGTTTGACCTTCATTCCGGTGGTGACAAGCCAAGCAGCAGCCTTCTCTTTGAATTTAGCGTTCTTCGACTTGACTCTCTCCCACGCTCTATTTTCCAATATCCAATCAGCTTTGTGCCTGTCTTCTATTGAGGAATTTTGTGAATAGGCGATATCGTGTACTCGACACGCGTCGTCCAACGGATTGATACCGGTGTCTCCTCTTGCAAGTTTTTTATCGAGTTTGGTACCTGGACCACAAAATCTGTAGCCTGGAATGTGTAATTCGATGGGAAGTTTATCGATCAGAGAATTAAGCACACCCTCTCCGCGGTAGAGCAACATGAAGACTGACGTGTAGGAAGTTCGACAACTCTGCATATACCTAATGAAATGAAAAATATATCATCACATGATGAAGATCATTCAACAAGAGCGGATGTTACCCATTGTGAATTTGGATTAAATTTTGTCAACCAAACCCCCAGTAAATAGTAAACATGGGAAACTGCTTCCCCATTCGTTCAGAGCAATCTTCTGCGGACCAAGCGGATGTGGAAAGACCAATGCGATGCTTTCCTTGCTGTTCAATCCAAATGGCGCGAAATTCAAGAACGTTTACGTGTATTCAAAGTCGTTGTACCAACCGAAATATCAATTGCTGCAACAAGTGTTGGATTCAGTGAAAGGTGTTGGGTATTTTCCCTTTAAAGAAAATGATGAAGTCATCAGTCCATCAGAAGCGAAAAATAATTCGATATTCATTTTTGATGATGTATCATGCGACAAGCAGCAAAAAATTCGAGAATATTTTTCAATGTGTAGACACAAGGATATTGACGTAGCATACCTATGCCAGACTTTTTCTAAGATACCGAAGCAGCTAGTGCGAGACAACAGTAACCTGTTGGTGTTATTTCGACAGGATGAAATGAATTTGAAGCATGTGTTCGACGAGCATGTCTCACCAGACATGTCATTCGATCAATTTAAAGCATTGTGCTCAGAGTGTTGGAATTCCAACCAATATGGTGCGATGGTGATTGCAAAAACTTTCGATATGAATGCTGGCAGATATAGAAATGGTTTCGATAAGTTCATAAGACTGTGATCTCTGGACCATTCATCAAGATGACGTCAACCAAGATGCATGATGATGTTGCTGATGCGCTGCGCAAGAAAAAAATCAACGAACTATCGAAATCAATCAGAAGAAAATATTTAGCACTAAAATTGGGCAAGTCTGAGGATGATGATGCGTTACAGAAAATATTCCAACCACTGACATCACCTTTGAAACAAATTGTCACCACGTCCAAGGTAATAAAAGAAAAACTCGATGGAAAGCTTTCAAACATCAAGCGAAGCAGAGCAAAATCGTTGGGGTTGAAGAAGGAGAAGAAGGAGGAAGAGGATGGGGAGGTGGAGAGGGAGCAATCGGATTTTAACCAAACTAATTTCATACCTATGATGGATGTGGCTGATAATGCTGGGCATACTGAAGATGATGATGAGGATGGTTATGACGATGCTGATGATGAACTTTTTGTAGATAGTGAAAATATCTCACCGGCTGCAATACATGATTACGTTGATCAGTATCCTGCGATGGCTCAAAAATATCTGACTGAATACTGGACAAATGATGAAAATATCGATACGGTTTATGGTCCCAAATATGATCCAGTGACATCGAAATGGTCTCTCAACGGAAAAGAAATGAATTTCCATCGAAGAACTAGAGATATACTTCTTGATGGCTTTCGGTTCCGTGGCACCCCAGGCCTCTATCAATTACTCTTCTATAATGATCCATCCTTTGCCAAAGATGATACGAACCCATACAAGCAGATACTCTTGCTCACCAAAGCTCATCTGAATTCTGCAGGACGTATGAAGTCTTCCTCTAGACTCAAATACGTAGAAATTATTCGCCCAATGTTCAGATCCAATTCCAGTGGTCGTGGTTTGAAGTTGACATACAACACAGCACCCATCGAATACATGTATTGGGATGATCCAAACGAATTGGTAGATAGATTGAAGTTGCTCATTGCATCACATCAAGCCGGAAATACATCAAACGATAACGAGATTGTTGCCATCTTGAACGAATTAGAAGAGGCAGGCATAATAAAACATGTGTGACATTTCTGTGATACTTCCGTAACACTTCCATGACAACTTCCGTGACAGTTCCGTGACACTTCCTTGACACTTCCGTGACAGTTCCGTGACAGTTCCGTGACACTTCCTTGACACTTCCGTGACAGTTCCGTGACACTTCTGTGACAGTTCCGTGACACGTCCATGGCATGTCTATGAGTGAAGGGGCTAATAATTGGCGAGGCAAAGTGCCGACCATTATCGATAACGTACAATACTTTAGTCATTAGCATAATGAGTCTCGACAAATTCGGACGTGGTTCGTTTCCACGCTCAGCTCAGATGGTGACAGTCAGATCTGGATTCTCACATACTCCAACCGGTGATATTGATGTTGGTCATTTGAAGATGTGTAACGTAAAACTGCCAACAGATGTCGCTGATGTTGCAAACAAACAATATGTGGATGAAGTTATATCGCAAATAAAGTTAGATTTCAAGATTGCTTTCGATAACTACGGTGAAAAAATCCGAAATTACCTTGCTGGCTTCAGCAACGAAATAATCGAAAAAAGGAAGAGAGTGGATGTACATGATCTGAAACTGGCAACGTTCAAT